CGGGAAAATACAGGGAGCAGCAGTGAAGATCTTTATTGACGGAGGAGCGAGTCACAGCTTAGTTAATACCGCAACCGCACGGAAATTACAGTTAACACTTAACCGATGCTCACCTGAGATAGATGCACGCTTAGTCGACGGCACGCCCCTGGCCATACGGGAGAAGGTAGAGCGCGTAAAAGTCCGCTGCGGGGGGAACTTCGGGTTTACACAGGAAATGCTCGCAACGACACTGGATGGGCACGCCATTTTATTAGGACGTGATTGGCTGCGACGGTACAACCCACGGATTGATTGGACGACGGGGAGCTGCACAGTGCGAAGTAGTGGTAACTGGGTCGTTCTACCTCGCTGGCAGCCACCCGAATCTTCGACGGTCCAGGTCAACGCCATCACGATGAAACGGGCTGTCGCTGCTGGAGCTGACGTGTACGCAGTGGATATCGCGCTAGTAGAAAAAGAGGAGCAGCCGAGTGATTTAGAGAAACTGTTGGCAGCCGTACCGACCGAACTACAGGCACTACTGAAACGGTTCCCGGGGATATTTCCGGATGACTTACCACAGGGACTGCCACCTCAGCGGGCGCACGACCATAGGATCGAGTTAGAACCGGGGGCACAGCCAACTGTACAGCGACAATTCCGACTGACACAGCCCGAGCTCGACGAGTTAAGGAAGCAGTTAGATTACCTGTTAGAAAAGCAGTTCATCCGACCGAGCTCGTCACCATTCGCCGCACCGATACTGTTCACACCGAAAAAAGACGGAGGGTTCCGCATGTGCATCGACTACCGAGCGCTTAACAGGGTAACAGTCAAATCACGATACCCCATCCCCCGCGCCGACGAACTGATCGACCAACTGCGAACAGCACGAGTCTTTTCGAAAATAGACTTACGGGGCGGTTACCATCAGATTCGGGTCGAACCATCGGACTGCGCCAAAACAGCATTTAAGACTAGGTACGGGTCATTCGAGTACACAGTAATGCCTTTCGGGCTGACCAACGCGCCTGCAACATTTCAGATGACCATGAACGAGGCATTTAGGCCACTCTTAGATAAATGCGTGATAGTTTACCTCGACGACATCCTCGTTTACAGTCGGGATAAGCAGCAGCACTTAGCAGATCTTGAAGCAGTTTTTAAGGTTTTAGAGGAACATCGGCTACTCACCAAGGGCTCCAAGTGCGAGTTTTTTAGGGACAGGCTAGAATTTTTGGGTCACGTCATTTCGGAGGCTGGGGTTGAGATTGACCCAAAGAAGCTGGATACAGTACAAGCGTGGCGCCCCCCGACGAATATCACGGAACTGCAAAGTTTTTTAGGTTTTGTTAATTACGTTCGACGGTTCGTGCCCGACATGGCACGTTTAACAGCCCCACTCACTGATTTACTGCGTAAGGGGGTCGTTTTTACGTGGGGGGAGAAAGAGCATGCTGCCTTCTCTACCCTGAAAAACGTTCTCTGTTCACCACCCGTTTTACGCATCGCTGATCCACACCGCCCCTTCGAAGTGGTTACAGACGCGAGTGACATCGCCATCGGAGTTGTACTGTTACAAGACTTCGGCAACGGCCTCCAACCCATCGCCTACGAATCACGCAAACTCCATCCGCCTGAGCGAAATTACCCTATACACGACCGCGAAATGCTTGCGATCGTGCACGCATTCAAAGTGTGGCGCTGCTACTTGACCGGTGCAGACGTGACAGTACGGACAGATCACCGATCTCTACAGTACCTCCGCGCACAGCCCCACCTCAACCCACGACAGATGCGATGGCTCGACTTCCTCGAGTCGAACTTTCACTATACAGTCACATACACAAAAGGCTCTTCAAATATCGCCGACGCACTGACCCGCCCCACTGCCCAGATCTACGCAATACTACTCGCCCAGACCAGCCCGCTACTGACAGGCCTATTTACCCACGGATACCAAACAGACCCGTTCTTTACAGGAGGCAATTCACAGCAATTCGCAGCAGCCAAGGGCATCTACTACGTAAAAGCAGGAACCGACCGCATCTGGGTACCAGGGTACACGTTACTGTGGGAATTATTATTACAGGAGGCACACGACGGCGTTACCTCAGGACATTTCGGTGTAGAAAAAACACGGCAGCAGCTGCAGCGGTACTACTATTGGCCAGAAATGTTGACCGACGTGCAACGACACGTGGCATCGTGTCCCACTTGCCAACTCATGAAGTCAAGCAGGAAGCGGCCGGCGGGACAATTACAACCCATCCCGCCTCCAGAGCGTGCTTGGCAGCAGGTGACGATGGACTTCGTCACGGGGTTACCAGCTGGGGCGAGTGGGAATGACGCGATCCTGGTCGTCGTCGATCGACTAACGAAGATGGCACACTTCGCAGCATGCAGGAAATCAATCACAGCCGAAGAAACCGCTCGACTCTTCACCACCACCGTCGTTCGACTACACGGGATACCGGCGTCGATCATCAGCGACAGGGACACGAAGTTTACCAGCAACTTCTGGCGGAACCTATGGCAGCAGTTCGGCACACGACTTCAATTCAGTTCATCGTATCACCCCGAAACCGACGGACAGACAGAACGGACCAATCAGACAATGGAGCAGCTGATTCGAGCCACGTGCGACGATCCAAACACGTGGGAGCAACAGCTGCCTCTCATCGAGTTCGCGTACAACAATGCACCATCAGCCACGACGCAGCAGTCACCATTTTACTTGAACTACGGACAGGACCCAACAGTACCCATGACACCGAATCCCGACAATCCCGTCCCACGAGCACAACAGTTCGCCGAGATTCTGCAAGCAGCACGGACCAGGGCAGCAGACGCAATAAAAAAATCAAATATCATCGCTAAGCGCAACGCCGATCGCCACCGCAGACCCGTCACTTACCAGCCCGACGACCTTGTTTTACTCGACACTCAGAACCTCCGCCTGCCCATCACTCCGAAACTCCGCCCTCAATACTGCGGGCCATTTCGAATCAGTCACATGATCACACCTGTCACTGCGCACCTCCTCCTCCCTGCTGACTGGTACGTCAGCCCCTCGTTCCACGTCAGCTTGCTTCGTCCTTACATACCATCCACCAGCCAACTCCCACGACATCGACCCTCCAGCATGACACGACCACCAACCGAACCCGTCATCACTCCCAAAAAAATCCTAAGCCACAGAATTCGTAACCCTCGAGGAGCCCGAAAAGTGGAGTTTCTGATCCGCTGGAAAGATCGTACCCCCACCGAGGACAACTGGGTCCCCGTGGACAAAATCGAAAACCACCCTGTCATCACGGACTATCTGCGCAGCCGAAACTTCAGAGACGTCCACGCGCTTTCGTAAAGAAGACCTCCTTAGGAGGGGGGGTAGTGTAAGGAAATTCCCTTTTTCCTTACGTCGCGTCCCTGCTCAATGCGTACATCACTGTAGCACCTCAGTCAGCACCGTTACCACTCGCGACCATCGCATCATTCATCATCCCGCCATTTTCGCACATCGCATCCTGACCTCACGGCTCGGCTGGTAACCCGCGCTCCGGGCCTACGCTTCGACACTTTCCCAACCTCAGTCACAGGCTCGTCGCGCGACTACCATTACCGTTACCACTGTTTCGCTATATATTCTTCGCTCATACCTTCGCTCATTGTACTCTTGCTTCGATAGTGCAATTCTCGTTCGTTCACTCAATTGCACACGTAACAGGTGTCCCCCAATAATTTTCTGCCAACCACCAATTCCATCTTAGTATAAAAAACCCTTTCTTGGGCATCAGGCAACCAATGGATTCCGTTGCTCCTGTCTGGATCCTGCACACGCATCCCCAATGCACAAAGCATACTCTAGTGGTGTCCTAACGTACTTCTGCTGTTCCATGCAATGTGCACAAATTGCTTGGTCATCCTGCTGCATCTACGTCGTCTCCTGACAATGTCCTTCAAATTACAGGTAGGCGACTCAAGTTTTTTGCGTTTGGAGCATTGGCATACGAGGCGTTCCACTGACGCGCATTTGCAGCGGCTTTGAGCTCTGCTGCCTTTGCACGAAGAGCTTCAAGCATCTCCCGAATTTCAGCTTCATCATCCTCGAGGCTCACATTCCGCATCGAGTGCAAGTTCCTCGTCAGCGTACCTTGTAATCTCCTGCCTTTGCTTGTGACGTTTGAAGATCGTGGAGGTTCAAGCTCACCTGCACGAAACACCAAGTTGAGAGGGTCCGCTGATCGCGCTAAAGCCACTACTTAAGATTACCAGTTTGAAAGTCTTCCTCTTCAGAGTTCTCCATATTCGTTCCCGAGACAAGCGCATGGGGGAGGGTGTTTGTTAGAAGGTAAGACGCGTAGTGCGAGTAGTATTTTACACTCTCACGAATTTGCACCTCCGTAATAATAAGGGACGATTCCAAGAGCATCATAGCCGCACTGCAGACAATGACGAGAAGTATCGGAATAAAAGAGCTTCGGAAACGGACTCGGATCATGGTGAAAGGAATGTGGATGGTTATGAAACTCGATGCAAGCGAAAGCTACGGACACAATATAGTGATAGTGAAGAGAAAGTCTCCTATGTACTGCATGCGTATTCCAGTTTTGAGGTTGCCCCCGAGGGTTCAGAAACCGACTGGTCCCAACGCAAGCTGACGGGTTGACGAAACATTGGAATGTAGTCGCTGGTTCGTCCCATGTCGAACCAGATGGTTCACGTAACACTTTGCAATTGAGAGTGGTTCGCTTCGGTTGATATTTTTTGGGGTACGCAAGAGGTCTGACCCACCGGTTTCTCAACTGGGTGGCATTTTGTTCGCAGCGATTGGCGAAACCGCTGGCAATCGTCGACCCTAGAGGAATTGATTCGAAATAGTGTAACCCCCTAAATCGTACACGTTGCGAACAACGACCAGCTTCACACTGGGCCGAGACTGAAGCCATCAACAACAGCAACTGCTACTATCACTAGTATGCTATACCGCTGACCAATTGGCGCGAGTTTGGCGAAGCATGCCGCAGCCACGTGTCCCGCTAGTGGAACCATCTCGCTTCAGGCTCGTGCCGCCGTTCGTGGTCGGCATTGCGGTCGGAGCGTGCATGATTCTGCTCCAGCAGTCGCTTTCTTCCCGTCTAGCCGGCACAACTGCCGGCGACTGGCAGAATGACCACCCACAGCCGACACACCGCCGCTATCCCTCATTTTCTTCCAGTAAAAACGGTGAGAATCTCGCCGGGCAAGATGGCGGCGGTGATGAGGCTCACGGCTCACCCTCCGCATCAGACGCCGCAAATGACGGCGTGAGTACCGGAGAGAGCAGCAGCGCGTACAACACGAGCTCGGGGATCGTGGCGGGGAAAGTGAACGTGCATCTGGTGCCGCACTCGCACGACGACTTGGGATGGCTCAACACGGTTGAACAGTACTATGTGAGAATAACAGCACCAGGACTCACCACTACTGACCAGCATAATCTCTTTCTTCGTTAAACTCCTTCTGGATCTCTCTCCTTCCTCGTACTCCAAGTTCCGGGAGCGATCCCCCTTTCCACCTCTCTGCCTCCACCTCCTCCTATCCCCCTTCCCCTCCCCTCTCTCCTTCTCCTCCTATCCTCATTCTCCTCAAGCTTCAGCTCTAACGCGTCCATCACAGTTACCGCATTCACATTCACACGGTCCATGCTCCCTGTGCCACCAGAAGCGCAACACCACACCTTCATTACTCCTTCCCCCCCCCCCCCCCCCCCCCCCCGCTCCCCACACCTCTCCCCTCTTCCCCACCCCTGGCATCAGATCACGGCCGTCCAGTTCATCCTAGAGACGGTGGTGGACCAGCTGGAGGCGAATCCGGACCGTCGATTCATTCAAGTGGAGCAGGTGACGTGGCAGAATGCGGCTGTAGCAGCCAGTCCTCTCCATCTAGCAGAGTGCCTGCTTGTGAATCAAGCATGCGAGAGCAGAGGGGGCATGTATGTGGGAATCTAAGCAAGCTTGTTTCTTTCTTTCACAGCTTGCTTCTTGTTACACGGTTGTTGTAGCACTTGTAGAGCAGACCTGAACCGGTGACTCATTTGAGAACTCTCTCTTGTACTTTAGATGAACTCGTATTTTGCTGTGTAGTTTGTAGCAGCACACCCATGAAGCTTGCACCTTCTATGCTAATGTGTCTCATTACCCATATCATTGTGTGATCCCATGCTTCTGCCCACTACCACAACACTGCACGTCCCATTGTGCCCACCATTCACGGCTGGCGGGCGGCAGGGTTTCTTCTACCGCTGGTGGCAGCAGCAGTCGGAGGGCATGAGGCAGCGCGTGCGTGCTCTCGTGCACTCGGGGCAGCTGGAGTTCATGTGAGTCAGTCAGCTCTTTCCCTTTCAAAGATACTGCAATGATGCTATCCTGCTCTCCTTTTTTATCCTTCTTTGCCTTCCCTGTCCCCCTGCTGCTGCCCCCTGCTGCTCTCTGTTTGCTGCCTCATTGCATGCAGCAACGGCGGGTGGGTGATGCATGGCGAGGCGTCGTGCCAATACAGGGACGTGTTCCATCACATGTCACTGAGGTTACCGTCGCATGCCCTCCCCATGCCTCCCTCTCCATGTGTGCATGCAGCAACGGCGGGTGGGTGATGCACGATGAAGCGGTGTGCCACTACAGGGACGTGCTGCACCACATGTCGCTGGGCCACCGCTTCCTCCAAAGCCACTTCAACGCCACACCACGCATCGCCTGGCAGATCGACCCCTTCGGCCACTCCGCCACCCAAGCCAGCCTCATCACAGCTCAGGTGCGCCCCTGTGAATGTGGATATGGTGCAGGTGGGGCTGGTGCCCTGCAGAATGCATGAGGTGGCTCTTCAACGGCCCCCCCTCCATCGCCTGGCAGATGGACAGCCTTTGGCCACTCCACCAGTGAAGCTAGTCTCATCATGGCACAGCCCAGGTGCGGAGAGATGAAGGGAGGGAAGGCGTGGCACTGCCTGGTGCGTGTGGTCGTGCTGTGCCGTGCATGTGTGTGTGGCGAGTTGAAACAAGGCCAATGAAAGCAAGAGAGCGAGGAGTACCTTGAGTGAGATCAATGCGCCTCAAGGCGTGATGCACAGCGGGCTGGATGCAGCTCGCCCAGCGTCATGGCTGACAGGGCGGGCTCGATGCAGTATTCTTTGTGCGTGCGGTGCGGTGCGGTGTGGTGCGGACTACTATCGACAATCCGCCATGCCGCCCTGCCTTTTGTCGTGTACTCTCCACTGTGATGGCCCCGCTTGCTTTCTGCCAGTGCAGGGCACACTGGACGGGTTCTTCACGCCAGCAGACTACGTTCAACTATTTTCAACCTGTCATGCCCCCCTGCCTTGTGGTTGTGTCACGTAAACCCTGTTGTGATGGCCCCTCTTTCTGCCAGTACAGGGTGGGCTGGATGCGGTGTTCTTCGCACGGGCGGACCATGAGGACATAGCGCGGCGCAAGAGGGAGCGGAGCACCGAGTTTGTGTGGCGCGCCTCCCAGACGTTTGGCCGGCAGGCAGAGGTGAGAGTGAGATCATGAGTGAGTGAGTGCGCGAGTGAGTGCGTGAGTGATTGCGTGAGTGCTTGAGTGCGCGAGTGAGTGAGTGCGTGAGTGAGTGCGTGAGTGAGTGAGTGCGTGAGTGAGTGCGTGGGTGTTTAAGTGTTACACGCCACATGTGACTGAATTCCGTGGTAACCCATGTCCATTCACTCAAGTGCCGAAAGCTTGCAAATTCAAATCCCGGGCTTTCGGTGCGATGGGGTTCAAGCTGGGCTGGTTGAGACAAGATGGGCGGGGCTGAGTTGAGATTAGCTGGGCTAAGACGAGATTGAAGCTTCTTAATTTTCACAGGTAAAAAGGGCCTGCTGCTGGGAGGTTGCAACGCGAATGAGGGAAATATCACATATTGGGTGGTGGAGTTATCCCAATGCGCCATATCATTCGTTTTCCCTACCCCTAACCCCACCACCCTTTCCTTGCTTTCACCCTGCCACCCTCTCTTTCTCCTCCCCCTTCCCCCTACAAACCCCCCACCCCCCTCACCCGTGCGAGAGCAGGTGTTCGCCGGCATTCTCTACTGGGACGGCTACTTCGCCCCGCAGCCATTCCGCTTCGAACCTTACGACCCACTCACCAACCTCGTCAAGGTTTGCTCACTCACTTGAATAGCCCTGTTGTAGACATCCTTTAACACGTGCGTGTAGTCACACGGGTGCTATAGCATGGGGCTAGATAGTGTTCCAAGCTTCCTGAAACATGTGGGTGTAGTCACCCTCACCCCTTTACCCACTATCCCAGCCCACACGCACGGCAACCCCGTATGACACGAACACATACTGTACCCTGTATGACACGAACACATACTGTACCCTGTATGGCACGAACACATACTGTACCCTGTATGGCACGAACACACACTGTACCCTGTATGGCACGAACACATACTGTACCCTGTATGGCACGAACACATACTGTACCCTGTATGGCACGAACACATACTGTACCCTGTATGGCACGAACACATACTGTACCCTGTATGGCACGAACACATACTGTACCCTGTATGGCACGAACACATACTGTACCCTGTATGGCACGTCGGACCTGGCGCATTTCCGAGGCGCACAAAAGATCGTAGTATTCGTAAACAAGGCTCAAAGCTTTTTATGAGCTGCCTCAAGATTAGAGCCGGTGAAGTGGAGGTATTAATGAACAAGTGACTTGCTCAAATCAAACCCATGCCCATGCCCATGCAAGCGTGCCATTTGTACCACATACCACATGCACTCACCCACTAGCACACCTACTATGCCTCCTTTCCAATTATCTCTTCCCCCCTGGACGACCCATACGAGGGTGATGCCAGTGCAGCGGTGGAGGTGCTCGTGAAACCGGAAACAGATCCAGAGTGGTTACACCCAGCCACCCACTGGTCCACCTGTGCCCCATAACCCACCTCCTCCCCTCACCTGACAAGACAATCCTTACGATGCAGATTCCAACATAGTCCAGCTGGTAGAGGCGTTTGTGAACCAGTCGCTGATTCAGAGTGGGTGCACCCACCCACCCATTACTAGCCCACCTGTGCCCCATTGCTCACCTCCCCCTCTTGCCAGGACGACCCATACAAGGCAGACGCCAACATAGTCCAGCTGGTAGAGGCGTTTGTGAACAAGTCGCTGACCCAGGCGGGTGACACGCGCAGCGAGCATGTGATGTGGGCAATGGGGGAGGACTTCTCGCACGCCAATGCTGCCCTGTGGTTCAAGAACCTGGACAAGCTGATTCACTATGTCAACCTGGTATGGCGATAGATGTGGTGTGGTGGGGTGTGGTGCTGTGTGGTGTGGTGCGGGTGTGGCGTGTGACCAATTCAAACGCTGCTCTGTGATTCAAAAATATGGTCAAGCTCATTCACTACGTCAACATGGTGCAGCATGGCATGGTGCGGCATGGCATGGTGCGGCATGGCATGGTGTGGCATGGCATGGTGCGGCATGGAATGGTGTGGCATGGCATGGTACGGCATGGCATGGTGCGGCATGGCATGGTGCGGCATGGCATGGTGCAGCATGGCGTGGTGCGGCATGCCATGATGCAGAACGGCAAACCAACCTTCCCCATCCCCCCCCTCTGCCCGTGCATGTACATCACTGCTGCTCTTTCACCAAGGACGGTTGTGTGAACGCCCTCTACTCCATGCATGTTGCTCCCTATCCTCCTCTCTTCCCCTGCATGTGCATCACTAGTTCTGAGTCGTCTCGAAACTCAATCCTCCTCATGTGCGTGACTGATTCACTGCCACCCCTCTCAGGACGGCCGTGTGAACGCCCTCTACTCCACGCCCTCGCGGTACCTCCACGCCAAGCACCGCAGCAACCAGTCATGGCCGCTCAAGCAAGGAGACTTCTTCCCGTGAGAGTCTCTCACCCCACACACTGGAAGGTGGAATGCTGGGAGAATGTGGACATGCTTGAAAGTTAAAAACCCTCACCACACACACACTGGGAAAGCCCTATGCTCACCACCAGGCAGGCACTTGGTGCCCACACAATCAGCGGACACTTGCTGCTCTTGTCTTGTCCTGCCTTGTCTACCTTGGGGCCATGGAGAGCACTGTCCCCGAATTACGCACTTCTCTGTAACACCTCACTGCAACTCACTGTACCTCAATGCACCTCATTGCATCTCTCACTGCACCGGTGCCATTGATGCACTTGCGAAGGCTGTGTGTGGTTCGGTGTGGTTCTGTGTGTTTTTTCTATGTAATCCACTTCACACACGTTCGCACTTCACAATGGCATGGCTCAATTGCTCGTCCTCTCTCGCTTTGCGTTATGTGGCATCACATGGCATGACATGGCATGGCACGGCACGGCACGGCATGGCACGGCACGGCACGGCATGGTACGGCATGGCATGGCACGGCATGGCATGGCATGGCATGGCATGACACGGCATGGCATGGCATGACATGGCATGGCATGGCATGGCAGGTACGCGAGTGCTTCAACGGAGTACTGGACTGGGTACTACTCAAGCCGCCCGGCCTTCAAAGGCTATGCTCGCATGTGCAGCAGCCTACTGCAGGTGGGTTGCTGTCGGTAACCAGCCTGATTCCATCCATGCCTCCCCTCTCCCCCCTACCTGCACGGTCCACACACACACCCTCCCTTCTCTCCGATTCTGCCCGCTCGACGCTCCTCCTGCAGGCAGCCACGCTACTGGAAGCGTCAGTGGGCAAGTCCAACCTCCAAGCATGGGGCAACAGCACCTCCCGCCTCGTGGTGCCCGTGCTGCTCTCCACCAACCTCTCTGCCATCCACGCCCCCACGCCCACGCCCTCCCGCCTGGCTTCGACGTACCCTTTAGAGGAGGCAGTGGCAGTGGCACAGCACCACGATGCCATCACAGGCACGGCGAAGCAGCATGTGAATGACGACTACACGCTGCAGCTTTACAAGGGCGCACAGGAGGTAGGTAGGGCATAAGGGGGTTTAGGGCGTAGGTGGGGTTGGGCATGGGGGGGGGTAGGGACCACCAGGGATGGGGGCATGCGGGGTGATGGCAGTGGCACAGCACCATGGTGCCATCACAGGCTCGGCACGGCAGCATGTGAACGATGATTACACGCTGCAACTGTACAGCGAACACAGGAGGTGTGTTGGGGTGGGGAAAAGCAAGGGTGGATGGGGCAGAGGGCGTGGGGAATGAAGCCATTGCAAATGAGGCAGTGGCAGTGCAACTACTTCCACTGGGAATCAAACTGGTATCATACCTGGGCTTATTCAAGCTGGTGCTATGAACACAAGCCGTGAGCCAAACTGGGTTGCAGACATGCCTGGATGGGTTGCAGACATGCCTGGATGGGTTGCAGACATGCCTGGATGGGTTGCAGACATGCCTGGATGGGTTGCAGACATGCCTGGATGGGTTGCAGACATGCCTGGATGGGTTGCAGACATGCCTGGATGGGTTGCAGACATGCCTGGATGGGTTGCAGACATGCCTGGATGGGTTGCAGACATGCCTGGATGGGTTGCAGACATGCCTGGATGGGTTGCAGACATGCCTGGATGGGTTGCAGACATGCCTGGATGGGTTGCAGACATGCCTGGATGGGTTGCAGACATGCCTGGATGGGTTGCAGACATGCCTGGATGGGTTGCAGACATGCCTGGATGGGTTGCAGACATGCCTGGATGGGTTGCAGACATGCCTGGATGGGTTGCAGACATGCCTGGATGGGTTGCAGACATGCCTGGATGGGTTGCAGACATGCCTGGATGGGTTGCAGACATGCCTGGATGGGTTGCAGACATGCCTGGATGGGTTGCAGACATGCCTGGATGGGTTGCAGACATGCCTGGATGGGTTGCAGACATGCCTGGATGGGTTGCAGACATGCCTGGATGGGTTGCAGACATGCCTGGATGGGTTGCAGACATGCCTGGATGGGTTGCAGACATGCCTGGATGGGTTGCAGACATGCCTGGATGGGTTGCAGACATGCCTGGATGGGTTGCAGACATGCCTGGATGGGTTGCAGACATGCCTGGATGGGTTGCAGACATGCCTGGATGGGTTGCAGACATGCCTGGATGGGTTGCAGACATGCCTGGATGGGTTGCAGACATGCCTGGATGGGTTGCAGACATGCCTGGATGGGTTGCAGACATGCCTGGATGGGTTGCAGACATGCCTGGATGGGTTGCAGACATGCCTGGATGGGTTGCAGACATGCCTGGATGGGTTGCAGACATGCCTGGATGGGTTGCAGACATGCCTGGATGGGTTGCAGACATGCCTGGATGGGTTGCAGACATGCCTGGATGGGTTGCAGACATGCCTGGATGGGTTGCAGACATGCCTGGATGGGTTGCCATCAAGTGAGTTCTCACACTCTACGCCCCTTATCCCCCCTTCTCCCCCCCCTCCCCCCCTCTCCTCCCTCCCTCCCTCCCCCGTTGTCCTTTGCTCCTTTCTTAACCCCATGCACGTCCCATCCCCTACCCCAGGCGTCTGTGATAGTGACCTCGTCGCTCACGCACCTCATCACGCAGGGTGGGCTGGTTGCAAACCCACTGCTGCTACGCCTGCATCCCATGCACTTGTTGTGTCTCCTATCCCATGCTGCAGGCATCTGTGATAGTGACCTCGTCCCTCACGCACCTCATCTCCCAGGGCGCTCTGGACCTCAAAGCCCCCGTTGCCGCCATTCCTGCCGCTCCTGCTGCTCGCACCACAGGCCAGCCTGCTGCTCCTGTGCCGTTGGGAGGCACCGAGACACTTTACAACGAGACAGGGAAAACGGGCAGTGCAGGCAGGGACGATGTGCTGAGACTTGGCCTTGACTTCCAGCTGGTAATGAGAAAGGCAGTGTGAGTGAGTGACAGTGTCCCATCCTCCTCGCCGTGCATTTTGTCCCTGAGGGCCCTTGAGCACTCCACTCAACTCAATGTATCAGCATGTGCTACATTATCGGATCGGAACACATCCTTGTCTCTACTGCTTGCCCCTTTCTTCCTCTCCCTTTCACACCCTTCGCCGCTCCCTTCCCCTCCTCACTGCAGTGCCCGCTGCTCAACATCTCCTACTGCCCGCCCACGCACAGCCCCATTCCCCCCGGCACCACGCTGGTATGCTTACTCGGAACCACATTGCAGCGTGGCTGCTTCTAGCCTGCGTCTTTCGCCTTTCTCCGCATTTGATAAGCGATCATGCATACTTCTAGACTAGACTGGTTCTGATGAGGTGGCGCTGTGGAATGGTGCTGCCACGTGTCGTCTAACTGGTCAAGCTGGCTCAGTTCAGTATCAGATAAAAGTCAGTGTAACTCAAGGAGTGAGTGGGTAGTCACGACGAGCACGCTTGCAAGCGGCCCTTTTCCAACAATCCGCAGTGCTAAACTCATTCGACCAACCAACTAACTCATCTGCATGAAGCTGCTATGGTCATACAGCCACCCCATGCCCACACAACCCTTCCATGCCCACCCAGGTCATTGCTGCATACAACCCCCTCGGTTGGGCGCGAGACGAGATCATGCGCATTCCTGTGAGTGTAGCCATTCATGCGCATTCCTGTGAGTGTAGCCATTCATGCGCATTCCTGTGAGTGTAGCCATTCATGCGCATTCCTGTGAGTGTAGCCATTCATGCGCATTCCTGTGAGTGTAGCCATTCATGCGCATTCCTGTGAGTGTAGCCATTCATGCGCATTCCTGTGAGTGTAGCCATTCATGCGCATTCCTGTGAGTGTAGCCATTCATGCGCATTCCTGTGAGTGTAGCCATTCATGCGCATTCCTGTGAGTGTAGCCATTCATGCGCATTCCTGTGAGTGTAGCCATTCATGCGCATTCCTGTGAGTGTAGCCATTCATGCGCATTCCTGTGAGTGTAGCCATTCATGCGCATTCCTGTGATTGTAGCCATTCATGCGCATTCCTGTGAGTGTAGCCATTCATGCGCATTCCTGTGAGTGTAGCCATTCATGCGCATTCCTGTGAGTGTAGCCATTCATGCGCATTCCTGTGAGTGTAGCCATTCATGCGCATTCCTGTGAGTGTAGCCACGAGTGGTTTTGAATGGAGTCCCATTCATTCGTGCCTACTTTCAGTTTGCTGCCCATCCCTGCCCCTTCTTCCTGTTCTTCTTCCTTTTCTTTCCCAGTCACAGCCCCCTCCTTTCTCGCTCTTCCTTCCCCACCATTTCCCCCTTCCGCCTCTCGCTTTTGTGTGCTCCCTGTCAAGCCTGCCCTGTGCCATCTCCCACCTCTCCACTACTCCCTTCACGCCGCTCCTCGTCTCCTCCCGGTCCCCCAACCCCAGGTCTCCTCCCCTGCAGTCATTGTGACTGACGCCCATGGCAATGTCGTTCCCTCACAGGCCATTCCCGAGGTCCTGGTTCCGTGGGAGACCCGTGAGAGGTACATAAGTGTGCAGGTGGGTGAGGAGAGGGTGAGGGGTGACGCGGAGGGGGTGAGAGGGGGCAAGGAGGGGGTGAAGGGGGGCAAGGGGGAGAAGCGAGGGAGGGAGGTGAGGGAGACGCAACGGCAGCAGGGGGAGGACCAACAGCAGGGGGAGGAGCAGCAGCAGAAGAAGCAGCAGCAGCAGGAGGGCGTAGTGGTGTCTGTGGTGTTCCGTGCCAAGGTGCCGCCCCTGGGCTACTCCACCTTCTTCCTCTCCCCAGCTCCCCCCCACACCCCCGGCGCTGCAGTCACGAGCACTGAGTGGCAAGCCCGTGTGCAGCCGGGAACAGGGGGTGGGGAGTGGGGCAAGGGGGAGGAGGCGGGTGAGGGAGAGGAGGAGGGACGGGGGGAAGGGGGTAAGGAGGGGAAGGAAGTAGGGGAGGAAGAGGGGGTGGAGAGAGAAAGTGTGGTCGTGGAGGAGGAGGGTGAAGGGGTTGGTGGTGGTGATGTGATTGTGCTGGGAGGCTGGGTTGCTGCTGCTGCTGCCGGTGCTGCCGGTGCTGCCGGTGCTGGCGGTGCTGCTGCTGCTGGCGGTGCTGGCGGTGCTGCTGCTGCTGGCGGTGCTGGCGGTGCTGGCGGTGCTGGCGCTGCTACTGATGGGAAGGGGAGTACCAACTCTGGGAGCACAGCGCCAGGGAGCTCTCCTGCACCGAGTGTGTTGCGAGTGCTCTTCTCAAAGGCAGCGTATGGCATGACTCGCCTGCAACTGCTTGGCCGCAGCCAGCAGGGAAACGAGACAGTGGTAAGATGCTGCACTGCGAATTAATTCTCTGTGCGCTTCTTCCTGTTTGCTGGGAGCATTCTTTTGTATCGACTTTGCCTTCTCACTCATAGCCTCTGCTTCTCACTCATAGCCTCTGCTTCTCACTCATAGCCTCTGCTTCTCACTCATAGCCTCTGCTTCTGATTGCGTTTTGTTCCCTAGCCCTCCTTGCATCTGTCCATCCATGCTCTCCTGCTTTGCTCATCGGAACTTCCTTCCTTTCTGTTGTTTCAGCTTACAGACAAGCAAGTGGGCACGGGCATGGGCGTCTACATTTCAAATCACGTGCGTACATGGGGGCTTACACTTAAAAAACACTTTTCCTCTGGCTCTCCTCCCTTGCTCTTCCCACCTCCCCCACTTCTTAACTGCACCACAAACCTAAACTCCCTGCATCATCCATTTTCTCCCTTTTAATTTTCATGTCTTTCCCTTTTCTTTCCATCCTTGTCAATACGAGCCCGTCTGTCGATGCCATTCTATGCCACTCCCGTCCGATAATACAATGTACACTTCTCATGTCATGCCATGCGCCCCATGTTCCACCATACCATCGCAGGGGTGTGTACTTTACACCCTTTGCGGTTGCTATCGCCCATGCTTCTTGCACAACAGAGATCTCATGCTCTCCAACTCACAACTCCCCCCCACCATTGCATGCCGTTATCGCCTTGCCATCCCACATTGCATGGTGTGGCATGGCATGTCATAAGCATGGTATGGCGTGGCATGGCATGTCATGGTGTGGCGTGGCGTGGCATGGCATGGCGTGGCGTGGCATGGCATGGCATTGCATGGCATGGCATGTCATGGCGTGGCATGGGATGGCATTGCATGGCATGTCATGGCACGGCATGGCGTGGCATGGCATGGAATGGCATGGCGTGGCGTGGCGTGGCGTGGCGTGGCGTGGCGTGGCATGGCGTGGCGTGGCGTGGCGTGGCATGGCATGGCATGGCGTGGCGTGGCGTGGCATGGCATGGCATGGCATGGCATGGCATGGCGGGGCAGGCAGCAGGGGCATACATCTTCAACCCCCCACATGCAGCCACGTCTGCTCAGAACATGAGTCAACAGGCAAGTGCTGTCTGTCATAGGACCACACCCGAGAATCCCTCAAGAGCAACACATAGATTTAGCAACACACGTGAATCAAGTTTGCATAGTTGGTGGCATGGTAGAGCAAGGTGGCATGGTAGAGCAAGGTGGCATGGTAGAGCAAGGTGGCATGGTAGAGCAAGGTGGCATGGTAGAGCAAGGTGGGATGCACACTGACTAGAACACATTGGCACACACACACACAATAAGCCCTTACATCACAGCACGTATGGTCCGCCCGCGCTCTAAACCCGACTAGAACAGCATCACTGGCACGCTCAGCGTCCTCACATACTCTGAATCCACCATCACCGCAGCTCCACTCTCATCCCCGCCCTCATCATCCCTTGCTGCACTCACTCACTCCCTTCTCTCATCACCGCAGGTGCCAATCCGAGTGCTGCGAGGGCCGCTGGTGGAGGAGTTTCACCGGGCACTGGCGCCCTGGCTGTCCGAGGTGGGCGGCTGTAAGAGGTGGACGGCTGTAAGAGGTGGGCGGCTGTCCGAGGTGGGCGGCTGTCAGAGGTGGGTGCTTGTCTGAGGTGGGCGGCTGTCAGAGGTGGGTGGCTGTCCGAGGTGGGCGGCTGTCAGAGGTGGGTGGCTGTCCGAGGTGGGCGGCTGTCAGAGGTGGGTGGCTGTCCGAGGTGGGTGGCTGGCAAACGGGTGGGCTGTCAGAGGTGGGCGGCTGTCAGAGCTGGGCGGCTGTCAGAGGTGAGTTAGTCCGTGCGTTAGTTGGTGATGTCTCTGCCTTGGTCTTCAACTCTTACTTGCACAGAGTGATCCCCTTGCATTGCATCCTGGATGGATGGTTTGACCTTGCTAGTCAAGAAAGGCAGTGCCCCGCACAGGCTGGCATGAGCAGCACTGAGAATCTCTTGAATCTCCTCCTCTGCCCTGCAACCTGTCTGGCTTGCCGTGCAGGTCATTCGCGTGTATCCTGGACGGGACTACGCGGAGATGCATTATATGGTGAGCAGCCGTGGCCAACCAAACCACCCCACATCATTATGTATGAACTTCAGTAGATGAACTTCAGCCAATCAAACCACCCCACATGCATGCATGCATATCAACACCATCAGGTGGGCCCGGTGCCCTGGAAGCTGCTGCAGGGCATGTCTGCCATGCCAGATAACCAATCTATTATCCCATGCCATGCCATGCCATGCCATGCCATGCCGTGCATGCATATCGACACCATCAGGTGGGCCCAGTACCCAGAAAGCCCTCTGTGGCTCGAGAGGTGGTCACTCGCTTCGCCTCCTCCATCGCCTCTGCTGGAGCACTGTTCACGGACTCGCAAGCCCGCGACTACCTGCGCCGGGTGAGAACAATGTTCATGGACCTCACACCACACCGCTGCACTGGCTTTTAAGGCCCTTTTCACCAAGCTGTACCATGTGCCCTTCTGTACCATGTGCCCTTCTGTACCATGTGCCCTTCTGTACCATGTGCCCTTCTGTGCCATGTGCCCTTCTGTACCATGTGCCCTTCTGTACCATGTGCCCTTCTGTACCATGTGCCCTTCTGTACCATGTGCCCTTCTGTGCCATGTGCCCTTCTGTACCATGTGCCCTTCTGTACCATGTGCCCTTCTGTACCATGTGCCCTTCTGTACCATGTGCCCTTCTGTACCATGTGCCCTTCTGTACCATGTGCCCTTCTGTACCATGTGCCCTTCTGTACCATGTGCCCTTCTGTGCCATGCTGCAGCATGCCATGCCGCCCCTCCAGCAACCCTGCCCCCCCTGAGCCCTGTCATCCCCATGCTCTGTGCCTCGCATCCCGCCGTGTCCATCAGGAGCGCAACCATCGGTCGGATTAGTACCTCACCTCCTCCTCCTACCAGCCTGTCGCACCTTTAACACGTCCCAAACTCCCATGCTCCCTCCCTCCTCCCTCATCCCCCCCCCCCCCTCCCCCCCCCCCCCCTCCACCCCTCCCATGCCCCCACGCCCATCAGGTGCGCGACCATCGAGCGGATTGGAACCTAACCGTCTACCAGCCTATCGCAGGCAACTTCTACCCTGTCAGTCAGTCGCTGCTCTCAGGTGTCTGCGTGGCATGTATGGATGGCATTTTTTGGCAGCACGCGTTGGCATGCCTGCGACTGGTGTGTGTAGACGGTGCCGTTGCACAGACGGGCAGGTGGCATAGCAATGCATAGCATGGTATGGAGCATATTGCTGCTGTTTGTTTATCGCATGGCTCATGTTTGCATGCGCTGTGCACATGCCAGCGTATCAAAACACGAGCTCCCAGGCGTGTCACACGGTGTCTCCCCTGCCCTCCTCTACCCTCCTCAACCCTCCCCTGCACTCCTCTCCACTCCTTCCCCTCCTCTTCCCTCCTCTCTCCTCCTCTGCCCTCCTCTCCCCTCCTCTATCCCCCTCTCCCCTCCTCTCCCCTCTTCTCCCTTCCTTTCCCCTCTTCTGCGTTTCTCACTCTCCTCTGCCCTCCTCTCCTCTCCTCTCTCCCCCTCTCCCCTCCTCTCTCCTCTCTCCTGCGGGCATCGCCCATCCATGCCCCCTTCTATGCCCGCCCACAGCTCACAGCAGGGGCGTTCATTGCGAACAGCACCGCGCAGCTCTCGCTGCTGGTTGCCCGTTGAGGCGCCTGAGAATACTCGGCTCACCTCTTGAGGCGCCTGAGAATACTCGGCTCACCTCTTGAGGCGCCTGAGAATACTCGGCTCACCTCGTCTTCCCTCTTATTCCCTCCTTGCATCGCCTCTCCCTTCCCATCCCATCCTCCTATGCCCGCCCACAGCTCACAGCAGGGGTGTTCATAGCGGGCAGCACCGCCCAGCTCTCACTGCTGGTTGACCGGCCACTGGGGGTGGCAAGCCTGGCAGACGGGCAGATCGAAGTCATGCTGCACCGGTGAGTGGTGGAGCGGTGTGGGCGTGGCTTGTGCTGTAGTGTAGTGTATGCACTCAGACAGTGTAGTGTATGCACTCAGACAGTGTAGTGTATGCACTCAGACAGTGTAGTGTATGCACTCAGACAGTGTAGTGTATGCACTCAGACAGTGTAGTGTATGCACTCAGACAGTGTAGTGTATGCACTCAGACAGTGTAGTGTATGCACTCAGACAGTGTAGTGTATGCACTCAGACAGCACTGTGCCTTTGAAGTTGACTCAATAACTATCCTCTGCTGGTGTACGAGCTGTTGGGCGAACGGCCAGCCTGACAGGCAGGCAGGCAGATGGAAGTGATGCTTCACCAATGAGCTGAGCACCGCTGCGACGTGGCCTTGTGTTTCTAGGGGCGCCACTACAATACTCTCATGGTGTGATTGGAGTTATAGTCTTGAGGTGTAGTTTTGAAGGATAGGTATGATGAACTCCTTCGTTTGCAAACCTCCAACCACGCCTTTCTTCCCTCACTCATACCCACTCACTGCTCCTTTTCCTCCCTCCCTCACGCCTCCCTCAGTCAGTCCATTTTACCAACTCAGGCGCATGAATTTAAATAATGGGAAAAGGTTGAGAGATGGGGGGAGGGAAAGGAGGTGGAGGAGTAGGGGGAGGTGGGGGGTGGGTTCGTCTGATCTGAACCCTCTGAAAGGCATTCCACACATGTCTCTCCACCTGCCTCTCAGTCGCATGATCACAGACGACTGATTGTTTTGAATTCTCAGAAATCTCTTACAGAATGTTTCTGAATTCTTCATTCTTCGAATCACAAATCATCCATCTTCCCGCTCGCTTGTCAGGCGCATGATCTCGGATGACGGCAAGGGCGTGCAGGAGGTGCTGGATGAGAGGGTGTGCGATTCCCATGGCAACTGCACTCCCCTGGCCGTGAGTGCATGGAACAATGGCTGCACTCCCCTGGCCGTGAGTGCATGGAACAATGGCAGCACTCCCCTGGCCGTGAGTGCATGGAACAATGGCTGCACTCCCCTGGCCGTGAGTGCATGGAACAATGGCAGCACTCCCCTGGCCGTGAGTGCATGGAACAATGGCTGCACTCCCCTGGCCGTGAGTGCATGGAACAATGGCTGCACTCCCCTGGCCGTGAGTGCATGGAACAATGGCTGCACTCCCCTGGCCGTGAGTGCATGGAACAATGGCTGCACTCCCCTGGCCGTGAGTGCATGGAACAATGGCTGCACTCCCCTGGCCGTGAGTGCATGCCATGCGACGCTGAATACAAGCTGCCCTGGCCGTGGGTGTGCATGGCACGGCACAATGCAATAGGCAATGTGGGCTTTGCCCTTTCACACATTCGTATTTTGGAGTGGAACAGTCAGCAGGTGCCAACAGCAAGTAAGCTCGACCTCCATTCTGCATGTTCATGAAAAGAGGGACTCTGTCATTTATGAATGTGATCTTCCCAGTCAGCACGTGCGGATGTCTGTAGTGCTGCTTTTTTCTGTGCTTTTCTCAGGTGTGAGTCACTACCCCTTGCCATCTTGCCATGGCTCTCATGCTTCTGCCCTAGTTTCACTCCCTCATGCTTCTGCGCCAGGTGGTGGGATTCGTTCGCTTTGCTCTGCATCCCAGCACTCCCAGCGACACCGACTGCTACGGCGGGGATGCTGGCCATGCAGGGGATTCCAATTTAGGTGCAGCTGCAGGCGCTTCCAGTAACGATGCACTCAATAGCGAGCACAGGGTAGACACAGGCTCAGAGGAGTGGGTGTCAGAGGATTCTGACCCAGTACGCGATTCTGCCAATGTAGGAAATTCTGATGAAATAGCGAATGCTGTTAGTGATGAAGCACTCAATAGCGAGGACAGGGAGCAGGCCTCAGGGAAGCCTAGTGCAGAATCAGGTGCTGCGGACTCCCAGGAAAGTCAACCGCCTTCCGGCCGGCGAAAGCTGGGCGGCAAAGGCGTGAAGTATGAAAGGTTGGGCGGCAAAGGGAAACAGGGAAGGGAGGGGAAAGAGAGGGGTGAAGCGACAGTGGGGGGAGTGGGGGAGGGTGGGGGGTTGGGGAGTGTGAGGGGCGAGGCAGCCAGGTGGAGGAAGGAGCACGCAGAGAGAATGCTGTCGCCACTGCAACTGGCATTTGCACTCGAGGTGAGATGTGAGGGGAGGAGAAATCAGGTGGATAGAAGTGAAGAGAGGTGAAGGGAGGTGAAGAGAGGTGAAGGGAAATGAAGAGAGGTGAAGGGAAGTGAGAAGTGAAAGCAGTTTGTGGATATTTGTCTCTCTCCGTCCTGCTTGTTAACCATTCGTTTCCATGGGTCTGTGGCGATTGATGCATTACTCATGACACGACACATGCACATGGCACTTGGCGCATGGCACTTGGCGCATGGCACTTGGCGCATGGCACTTGGCGCATGGCTCATGGCACTTGGCGCATGGCAGGCAACCGAGGCACTGAAGGCAGCGCAGGGCATGAGATGGACGTACTCCCTCTCATACATGCCTCAAGCGGAAGAGAGCAACCAGGGCAACCAGGGCAACCAGGGCAACCAGGGAAACCAGGGAAACACGCCCGCGCCCTATTACCTCCCTCCAAACGTTGCCATTGTCTCACTGCAGGTAGGTGCTGGTGGAAGCACACATACCACTCAGCCTCACCAATGTGGCTTCTGCTCGCTGCTGCCTCCTGAAACGCCTCTGATGCAGTGCGGCTTTTGTTCACCATCCCGTTCATCCTCCTCTACATCATCCTCTCCATCCTCCTCTTCCTCCTCTTCCGGCTTTTGTGCGTAGCGCTACCTGGTGCTATTCAGCCCCCAACCCATCCACCCTCCCTCCATTCCCTCTCTACTGGATTCCATTCTGTCACCTCACATGTCACCACAGGAGCTTGCACCCAATGAGTTCACCGTCCGATTTGCACACCTGTACGAGGTACGCTCCATGTGCTTCACACCTTGAGGTGTGCCCTATGTGCGCTAGGTGGTGCTGTGCTGGATTATAAGATTATCTTATACCCCCACCTCTAACACTTGCCGACACCCCTCATTCCGTGATGCAGCTGCAACCCCTCCCTTCAAACCATAGAACCCATGTGCGTCACCTTATCGCCTTGTGATTTAACTCCTATCGTCCCCTGCAATTTTCCATCTTGCTACCCTTCTTGCCCTTCACCGCACCTGCCACATACCATACCTGTTGGTCACTGCACCTGCCAAATTACTCATACTCAACAACACCACCCCCCACCTCCTCCCCCCCTTCCCCCCCCCCTCCTCCCTCCTCCTGTTCTTCCCCCCAGGCCAAGGAGCATCCGCAGCTGTCCAGCCTAGCCTCTGTTCATCTCCCCTCGCTCTTCGCCTCACGAAAGGTGCACTACCTCTGACTTCTCTAACAATCAATCTTCTTCAATCGCTCATTCTTGCGTTACTCTTCCGCTCTCGTGTTTCTGACACCTATGTGTGCCACATCAAATCTGTCTGCGCAGGTCAAGGATGTCACCGAGCTAAATCTTTTTGCAAGCCAGAAACGATCGGAAATGCGTCCACCAATGGAGTGGCGAGTGGAGAGAGATGCTTCTGGTGGGCATGGCAAAATGAGGGAGGGGAGAGCCGGTGAATCAGATAAGAATGACCCTACTGTAGATTCACCACATTTAGGTGCCCCGATCGACCCTCATGACCTTGTTCTTGAGTTAGGGCCCATGGAAATCCGAACTGTTGCCATCTCCTTCCATTGAGAAATACTAACGTTGGAACGAAGTTGTGAAATTGGAACACCGCACATGGAGATCTCAACACTGTAACGGATGTAAGAAATCAGTACCGTAAGCCCCCGGATAGAAGCGCAGGCCTCGGATAAGCGCCGGCGCTTATAAAAGGATGATTTATTATAAGCGCATATTGGGACGCTTCTATCCGGGGGCTGACGGTACCATCCAGGCCCTTAGAAGTCATGAAATTTACCCTGATTTTGGGTTTGAACACTGATTTTCAGGGTTTTGGTAGGCCCCAAATGCAGATTAAAAAGCTGAAAATATTATCCCTACCGTCATCGCCCGGATATAAGACATACCGTATTCTCCCGGACATAACACCCTAGGGTATAGCTAAAAATACAGTGAAAAAATGGGGGGGGTCTCCTCATAGGAAAAAAATACATAATACCCGGGTCTTTACATATGGCATATCTTAGTGTTAGTGTTTTTTTAATTAGTCAATGTGGGTGTTTTGCTGGTCGTTTTAGCATCACTGCCTGAGGCGCGAATGTGAGTTTCGGCCTAGAACTTCATCGCCCCCACGAAAATGGCATGTGGCACCTCTCTTGCCACTTGCAACGGAAGATTCACCTGCACGTGGCGACAGAGAAATAGTGGGAGGGGGCAAATCTCGGCGAAATTTCATTGAGGGAGAAATTCACACGACATTCTTCTGTATTGCAGCTACTCGTTAAAGACTATAATAATGAATCCGTAAGAAAAGGGGGGGTGTTATAGAAAATCAGCCAAAAAGGGGGGTATAGTAGAAACGAGGTCTATCATAACACCCACCCCGCACAAGCTACCCGGGGGTGTACAATTATGGGGGGGTGTTTTGTCCGGGAGTATACGGTATATGTCTTATCTCATACACTACAAAAAATGCTTGGGTTGTCTTGTATTTGGAGAGGTTTTGGGCGTCTTATAAGTCTTATAAATGGAAACTTTTTTAAACTACATAGAAATATTTTCACGCATCTTGAAAAGAGTTTCTCATTAAGAATGTGGATGTTGCGAAGGTGCCACTTCGGCAACCATTGCTCGAGACGCCACGTCATCTCGAATACTTGCATAGGCAAATTTGGTAGTACGTGACTCAGCACGTGGCAGAATTCGCGTGTCGCAAGGGTAAAAATGTACGCAGTATTTCAATTTTCACTATAATACATTGCAGTTTCGATTATAAGACACATATGTCTTATCTCGTACACACAAATACGGTATGTGTCGTATAAAAAGGCTAGCCTGTTTATAAGAGACACCCGTATAATTGTCAAACATTTATGCTATAGTCTTTCTAGGCTGTAGTGGGGTAGACAGTATGGGGTACAGTTTCCTAGGGTTACATATTTGTACCCAACTCATTTCCTAGTCAATCATTCCTCATTATTTCACATGGTATAGAGCAGGTTCCCTAGTGGGAACGTTTCCTAGGGCCCACAACGAAATCGATTTTTTTTTTTACCTGCCCGGAGCGCGCTTCGCGCCTGCCCTAGTCGCGCCCCGTGCGCCTGCCCTCCCGTCGCGTCCCCTGCCCTTAGCGGCCCATCGCGCCCTCTTAAGGCCCCTTTCGCGGACCCTCTCACGACCCGTCGCGGCCCCTTCGCGGCTCCCTCGCGGCCCCTCCGTGGCCCTTCGTGGCCCCTCTCACGGCCCTTCGCGGCCCCTCGCGGCCCCTCGCGGCTCCTTCGCCGCTCTTCGCGGCCCCTCGCGGCCTCTTCGCGGCCACTCGCGGCCCCTTCGCCGCTCTTCGCGGCCCCTTGCGGCCCCTTCGCGGCCCCTCGCGGCCCCTTCTCAGCCCCGTCACCGCCCGTCGCGGCCCCTTCACGGCCCCTCGTGGCCCCTTCTCGGCCCCTTCGCTGCCCTTCACGGCCCCTTCGCGGCCCCTCCGCGGCCCTTCGCGGCCCCTCGTGGCTCCTTCACGGCCCCTCCGCGACTCCTTCGCGGCTCGTCGCGGCCCCTTCGCGGCCCCTCCCCGGCTCTTCACGGCCCTGCCGCCCACCCGTCGCCGCCCCAGCAGCAGCTGCCATCGTGCCTGCTGCCGCTGCTGCTTCTTCTACGACCGGTCGCCGCCGCCGCTGCTGCCGTGACAGCCGCCGCCGCCCCTGCTGGGACAATCGCCCCTGCCACTGCCGTGACAGCAGCCGCCGCCGTCCCGGCTTTGCCCTGCAGCCGAGGCGCGGCACTCCTCTGCCGCCCTCTCGCGGCCCTGTCCCTACCGGCGCGCCTCGGCCCTGCCCCACCGCTTGCAGACCTCTACCCTCCCGCCCCTGGTAAGAGCACCGCCGAGCCGCGCCTCTCGTACTGAGCTGCTCCTAGCCTGCTGCTCCCACTGCTAGCTTGCTGCTGCTGCTGCTGTCATGGCTACCCCTAGTGTTCTCACCTTTGATGCTGAGGGTCGGGCTGTCGACTTTGAGGTCTGGGTCAATGATCTGCAGCTTTTCCTGCAATGCGATAGAAAAGATGGTCTCTCACTGTTCGATCTCACGTCTGGCGCCTCTGCCGCCCTTGCTGCCGATGCTGACAGTAGTGTTCGCTCACAGTGGACCACATGCGATGCTGCTGCTCGTCATGCTGTGCGTAGTCACTTGCCGTCCACTGAGCGCGCGCACTTTAGTCAGTATAAGAGTGCTAAGACCTTGTACGACGCCGTAGTTGCACGCTACTCTTCCCCTGCCACTACTGCCCTTAGTCGCCTCATGCTGCCGTACCTGTTCCCTGACCTCGCCGCCTTTCCCACAGTCGCTGACCTCATTACGCACCTTCGCACTAGTGACACCCGCAACCACGCTGCGCTTCCTGCTGAAATCTGCGCCAAGAACCCGCCCCCCCCATGTACATCACCCTCTACTACCTAGTCACCCGGCTCCCTGACTCCCTTCGCTCGGTCAGGGACCACTTCCTCTCTGTTTGCCCCACCACTCTCACCGTCGACCTGCTCGAGGAGCGCCTCCTGGAAGCTGAGAAGAGTATAGTCGTTGTAGGAGCCTCTCGTGGTGACCCTCGTACCCCCTTCTTTGAGGGGTGCTCCCCCTCCCCCCTTTTGCCCTCTGTTGCCTCTGCTGCTGCGGTCGACCTCGTTGGCACCGAGTCGGTCGGCGCCGCAACGACAACAGCAAGGGGGGTAAGGGCACTGGAGGAGCTGGCGGGGGCGGTGGAGGTGGCGGTGGAGGTGGCGGAGGGGGTGGGGGTGGCGGTGGGAGTGGTGACGGGGGTGGGGGCTTCGGTGGCGGCGGTGGAGGCGGAGGCGGCGGCGGCAGTGGCGGTGGGAGCGTAGGAGGCGGCAGTGGCGGCGGTGGAGCTGGTCGGGGTGGCTCTGTGCAGCGGGGCGTCGGTGGTGGTCAGCGCCAACAACAGCAGTGCAGTCGTGAGACCCCGCCCCCCCAGCAGCTTCGTGAGTGGTACGCTGCGCGTTAGCGGGGTGGGGGTGCTGGTCCCTGTGCCTACGTCCTGCGTACCGGCGACCGCACTGGTGAGCCGTGCGGTGGCCCGCACACCACCCAGCGCTGCTTCGGCCGCCTGACAGACGCCTGGCGTCTCCAACTCCTTGACGCCACTGAGATCCCTCGCTAGGGCGAGCTGCTTAGGTCGGGGGTTGCTATCTTTGATCGGGTTTATGATGCTATTCTTGCTGCCATGTATGTTGTGTCTACTAGTGCTGAAGGTGACTGTTACCTGTGCGTTCTGCCTGACCCGGGCATTGAGGCTGCTGCTCTAGGTGCTAGTGCGTCTGCTGCTCTTGGTGCTAGTGAGTCTGCTGCTCCAGGTGCTGGTGAGTCTGCTCTCTTAGGTACCGCGTCGGCTCAGGTTTTGCACACCTTCACCCTTGACTTGGGTGCTTCCCGCTCCTTCTTTTGAGACCGCACCACACTCACGCCGCTTAGTCGGCCGGTTGCGGTCTCCCTGGCGGACCCCTCTGGGGGTCCTGTCCTTGCCAACTTCTCCACTATCTTACCGTGTCCGGCGGCCCCTTATGGCACCCTGTCAGGTCTTTACCTCCCCTCGTTCTCTACGAACTTGGTGAGTGGTGCTGATCTACAGGATGGGGGGGGTTGACCAGTTTACTCCTGCGAGTCATCGAGTGACCCACTATACGTGTGCTTGGACGGGCTGACACTTGGCCACGTTTACTCGTCAGCCGAGGTCAAGTCTGTACACACTGTCTACCGAGTCTCCTCCGGTTGCTACGTCTCGTTAGGTAGCTGCGTCAGGTCAGGTGTTTGCTGCAGCGTCCAGGTCTGGTCCTGAGTCCGCCCCCTGCTCGTGTCATCTCCTGTCTCACCAGACTCTCCTCTGGCACCACTGCCTTGGTCACCCCTCCCTGCCTCTTCTCCGAGGCATGGCTTGCCGTGTCCTTGTCTCTAGTCTCCCCCGGTCCCTCCCTCCTCATCCTCCGCGGCCTGCCTCTACCTGCGTTCCCTGCGTCGAGGGGCGGCAGCACGCCGCTCCTCACTCCTCCGAGTTTCCTTGGACAGAGGCTCCGCTGCAGACACTTCACCTGGACGTGTGGGGCCCCACCCGCGTCCGTGGACAAGGTCACAAGCATTACTTCCTGCTGGTGGTTGACGACTACTTGCGCAGCAAGGGTGAGGTCACTGAGGTGTTGATCGACAGGATCCGCGCAGCTC